GAAGAAACCTTGGGGCCACTGCCTGTCTCCTCTGACCTTTACTTCTGAGCCTCTCTGAGCACTGCTAGCACAAGTGATGTTGCAGCAAAACGTCAAAGGAAGACTTTGGACATTTAAGAAAAAAGTGCAACTTGGGAAAATAGGAGTTATTAGACATTTTAGCGCTGGGAGGAAAAATAGGAGCAAAACCCAGAGCAACACAAGCTGCCTTGAAAACCTAAATTAAACTCAGAATCACAAAGAGCAAAATGTGTTAATAATAAATGGGGGATGCATCTGCCTGCCTGGGCTCAGGGTGCATGAATGCTCTGGTTGAGGTCCTTGGGGTCACAAGCACAAAATATTCAGACACTTCTGATGTTCCTGCAATGCATTTTACTAGGAAAAAAAAATGTGAAACGAAGAAGGGATGAGGCTGGAAATTGAGACAGAAAGATTCTGGGGAGACCTCATTGCTGCCTTCCAGTACTTGAGCGGAGCTTACAAGCAGGAGGGAAACTGACTTTTTACACAGTCTGATAGTGATAGGACATGGGGGAATGGTTTTAAACTGAAAGAGGAGATTTAGGCTAAATGTTAGGACAAAATTATTTACCTAGAGGTAGTGAGGCCCTGGCACTGCTGCCCAGAGCTCTGGGTGCCCCATCCCTGGAGCTGTGCAAGGCCATTGATGGGCCCTGGGCAGCCTGAGCTGGTGGTGGGCACCCAGCCCATGGCAGGTGTTGGAACTGGGTGATCTTTAAGATCCCTCCCAACCCAACCATTCTGTGATTCTGTGCAGTCTTGAGAGATCATGCTGCTCCACACAGGGCTGGTGGCATCAGCAGGACGATGATAACTCAGAGATCATTGTGGGAGCAGAAACCAGGTCTTGGAGGGTGTCGGGGATTCCCTTGCTGGTCAGGCAGGCATGCAGCCAAATTCAGGAACGTGTGTCCCTCCCAGCTCGTCTGGAAGCGTGCTGATGACCTGCTGCTGCTCCGTCTCCTTGGTGACTGCACATGCCAGTATCCCCAGACAAAAGCTCTCCTGGCACATAATGGGAACAGAGGGAGTGCTGGGCAGCAGCATTCAGCCCTGGGGGCTGCGTTCCTCGCGCTCAGCCTGGGGGGCTGTTCTGCAGCCCTCAGCCCTGAGTCAGACAGAACTGCAGCCTTGCAGATAATTCCTATTCAAAAACCAGATGGGTATTTCAGGTATGTGCCCGTGTGTGCTGCACACATTTCCCTGGGGACCTTCCTGTGTCTTTGCAGCCCTCACCAGACTACACATGGCAGCATCTCACAATGCAGCTCCTTGCTGTCTTGCATGATTTTTTTCTCTGCATGTACATGCAAGATTTAGGGCAGTGGGGGGTGAGCAGATGAACACTGGACTGATCTGTCTCAGTGTAGATCTCTCAGCCTGGTCGTGCATTGCTGTAGTGCTGCATGCTGAAAGCGTGTTGTTTTTACGGAGTTATAGAATGGTTTGAGTTGGAAGGGACACTTAAAGGCCACCAGAGCCGACCCCCTGCAATGAGCAGGGACACCCACAGCTCCGTCAGAGCTCAGAGCCCCTCCAGCCTGATCTGGGATGTCTGCAGGGATGGGGCATCACCAGCTGTTTGGAAAACCCATGCCAGTGCCTCAACGCCCTTATTGTAAGAAACTTTTTCCTTATATCCAGTCTACATCTCCCCTTTTTTAGCTGGAAATTATCTCCCCCTCTGTCTGTCCCCTTCTTTCTCACAGCCCCTTTATTTGTGTGGCTTGCATTTTGCTGCCATGTGCCTATTACGTTTGCTGGGTGTTAATGCACACAAGCACTCACCTCCAGACTCATGGTGGTGTAAAGGCAAGGATGGGACTCGAGTCTTCTCTCACAGCCTCACAGAGCTGAGCTCACACCTCGTGCTCCCGGCGCATTCTGCAAAACAAGGGCTGAAGCACCTGTGCATCCCTATAGAAACCTGGGCCTAGCTCCAATCTGTAGGTCACCCAGGCCTGCTTTGGGGCTGCAGCAAAGCAACCGAGGGCTGGCACTGAGATCCCTGCTGCAAGCCAAGAGGATTGCATGAAGCCTTTCCACCTCGTTCCCTGTCTCTAAGCATCCTCCCCAGCCGGCCGCCATGCCACAGGGCCTTGTAAGCCTCGTCCCATCACCCCACGGCTGAGCTCCGGTCCCTCCCATCCTGCTCTCCCACCCCAGTGCCGGTGCCCTGAATGCTTCATTTGAAGCTAATTCTGGCTGAAATCTGGTTTGCTTTCCGACGTTGCTGCTTTAAATTGGAGAGATTGACCTTGTAGCAGGAGGTGACATGCAGATGCACATCAGCGGCCCGGCAGCGCGGGCGGCGGGGGCTGGGGGCTGCTGAGCCGCCTCGGGGACAGGACGACTATTTTATGAGTAATTTAATATCTGGAACACAGACTTTTCATTCCCAGAGATCTGCTGGGGAAAGAAAGAGCCTTTCTGCAGCTCTGCGAAGGCTGTTCCTCATAAGGAGGCAGGGCTTAACCCCTTGGTGTCTGGCCCTCCACAGCTGCCAGCTCATACAAAGGGGATGGGAAAAGGAAAGGTAAGCCAGTGTGTGTTGTTCCAGGCAAAATCTCATTTGAATTCAAAAATAAAAGTCTGAGTAGGCCCAGGGAAACAAACTTGTCAGATACCCCAAGGTAAGATATGGGATGGAAGTCGTTGTGCATCCTCGCTTTCCTGTCTCAGATGGCTGAGTGCTGTATCCGTTCCCTGCAGGAGAACCACTAAGGCTGAAAGTCCTCGTCCTGCACCCAGCAGACCTGGCTCTGAGCCCCACAAAGTCCATCAGGGTCCTGCCCTGCTGGCGATGAAATGACTGCGTGGGCCTCCATGCCACCTAATGGGAGTTGATTTTTGTGTCCCTTCTGGTGAGCCTCCCCAGTAACACCTCTGCCTGAAGTCAACCAACATCACAGCCATACAGGCAGGGCTGATCCTCTGCAGGGTTCCCCACACGCTTGATTTGGGGAAGGGAAGGAGGAAAGAATGCAAAAAAAATGCATTGTCTTATTACACAACCCTGCCCAAGGGCAGAGGAATAGTGGAGGGCAGCCACCAGCTTGGTATCAGTGACTTTCCTAGAATCATAGAATGGCTGAGGTTGGAAGGAGCCTTAAAGCCCACCCAGTTCCAACTCCCTGCTGTGGGTCCCCCATGAGATCAGGCTGCCATCCAACCCGGCCTTGGGCACCTCCAGGGATGTTGCATCCATTGTCCTGGCTCTGGGAGGCCAAGGGGAAGGAAATGCTTTGGGGCTTTTCAGGAGGGACTGGCTGGGTTCAAGGTGAATGAATCAACACCTGTGAAAGTGTTTGTTAAGGATGTTAGACACCCTACTAGAGTGCAGGACTGACATCCCTGGCTTATTCTTACAGTGCAGCCATGACTCCCCTTCTAAACACACACTCTGATGTGCTCTGATCTCTAGTTTAGCTTCACTTTCCATGAATACTGATAGGCATTCAGCATGCTGCAGTTTCACACCCTGCTCCAGGTTACCACTCCCCCCCACTTCAGCTCACCAAATCCATATAAGCTCCAGTACTGAGAGGGCAAAGCATCCCACTGCTGCTTAGCTGCAGCTTGGCAAAACACATATCTAACAAGCCTGGCTCTGAAATCACCCAAAATCCCCACCTGCCTCAGCTTTTCGGCAGTATCTTCTGAGCACCTGGTGACTGCATGGGCACGTACTGGACCTCGGTGAAGGTCTGACTCCATAGATGAGGGCCACAGCACCACCTGGTGCAGCTCCGCGGTGTAAGCTCTGGCTTGGCCACGAGGAGATGCTGCTTCACCAATTTTAGCTGTGGTGGCATTTAAATTAGACAAAAAGAACGAAACAGAACAAAGCAAACAAAACAGAAAAAAAGAGAAGGAAAAAGGAAAGGAGGAGGGAAGGGAAGGGAAGGGAAGGGAAGGGAAGGGAAGGGAAGGGAAGGGAAGGGGCAGACTCCTGAGGTGGCACTGCTAAGAGCTAGACTCGTGCTGGCTGACACCCACGGGAGGAAGGATTGCTCTCTGCAGCAGTTTTCCCACTGAATAAGCATGGAGCTGCACTTCAGAGATAGCTGCTCTCTGCACTGACCCTTTCTGGGTACAGCCAAGACCCCAGGAACCGTTTGGCCGATGCTGGTGTTAGGCCAGACATCAGTTTTGAAAAGGGGCTCTGACAAAGACCTTTTCAAAAGTCCAAAAGGATTATATCAATTATACAGAAAGGCAGAAAATTTCAGCATCTTGTCCATCAGCATCCCAGATCCTTCCCTGCAAAGCTTCCTCCCACCTGCTGCTTGTCCTACCACATGGGGTCATCCCATGCCAGATGGAGAACTTTGTGTTTGTCTGTGCTAAATGTCAGTAGGTTTCTAGCAGCTCATTTCTCCCTCCTGCCCAGTCTCTTTGAATGGCAGCCCTGTCTTCCAGTGTATTGGCAGCTCCTCATTTCCTTGTGTCCTGCAGACCTGCTAGGGTTCAGGTCGGTGGGTATACACTGCCAAGCAAGTATTTTGGGGGTCAAATGCCGACCCATTTCTCCCACAGGAGATGCCCTATCCCCCTCCCCTCCATCCAACCTCTTTAAAATCTCATACCCTACAAAAACTCTCCTCCTTTTCCGCATCCCAAAAAACCCACATACATTTCACACACCATGGCTTGGTGCCACCTGCCTGACAGCCCCCAGTGGCAGGGACAGTGCTGGGTAGGGACTTGTCCTCATCAGCCCTGGACTGGGAGTTTCCCTGGGTTCCTCTGTAATGAGCTGCTCTCCCTTCCCTCCTCCCACACTGTACCCAAGGCGTGGGAAATCTCCAGGGCTGAGCTCAAAGATAAGGAAGGAGGCAAATTCTAGGAGTCAGCGGCGGCACAAGGAGCTGTCATTTAATGTATACATAACACACTTAGGACACCAAATCTGGAACTAAGAGTCACTCCAAGGGTGAGAGACTCTTGGTCTCTCACCAGTGTACAGGCTGCAGCTAAACCTCAGGGAAAATCAGGAACCCAGAAAAGATGCTGTCAGCCCCTTCGATCCCCACGAGGGAGTTCTTCTCTGTTGGCTCCAACCAGACGGACTCATTGGCTGCCAACCTGAGCACCACACCTCCCGTGGTGACCTGGTAGCTGCTTTGCACGTAGTCGCAGAATGTCACCACCTTCTCTCCCTTGCTGCCACCCCGTCCCTTCTTCATTCTGAGGCACAGGTTGCCCTTGGATGTGACGTGGTAGGTAAAGTAATAAACGCCGGGGACCTGGCAGGTGAAGCGGCCGTACCGGTTCTCGTAGTGTCTGTTCTCGTTGGTGATGATGCGGTCAAAGCGGATGGGCTGCTCCCGGCGTGGGAAGATGCTGATGGTCCTGGCAGCAGAGAAGGCAGACTTGAGGGTGACCTTGTAGTCACCGGTGTCTCCCTGGGGGCCAGGGGGTCCCCTGGGGCCCGGCAGCCCCTTTGAACCTGGGGATCCCCTGGGGCCAACCTTCCCAGGATATCCTGGTTCTCCTGGGTCTCCCTTTTCACCAATGTCCTGTTCATGCTCCACGAGTCCAGGAGGACCTAGAAAACAGGAGGAAGAGGGATTGTGGCCGCAGCTAAGCCCTGTGGGTCTGCAGAGGAGCAATGAAAAGTAAACCACAGATACCTGTGCTGAGATGTGGGACAGCAGAGCCCCCCACTCAGCTGGCATGGCTCCTCTTGCCCTCTGCCCTCTCCAGGTCCTTTGCGGTGTTTTATTCTCCCTACATCCCCCAGTGCTGCATCTCCATGGCTCTTGAACACCTCTTGAACAAGGATAGTGACTCCACCACCTCCCTGGGAAGCCTGTGCCAGCGCCTGATATCCAACCTGAACCTCCCCTGGCACAACTTAAGGCCATTACCTCTTATCTTATCTAGTTCCCTGAGTATCACCCAGTCCTGATAACACCTCAAAGAACCTGTTGTAAAGGGATTTGTGCTGGATTGCTTTCCCCCAGCCACGTGACTGGCACCACCTCTTCCTGCTCTCATTTATGATGTTTTCCACACCCGTAGCTTCCTCCTTACCTTGCTCTCCCTTTGGACCATTCTCCCCATCTCTGCCATTGATGCCAGGTTGGCCTGGTGACCCCGGGATGCCTGGGATGGTGCCATAAGTCTTGCAGAGCGTGGCACTTGCCAGCTGCCCTCCAGTGAGGCAGATCAACAACACCCACACGGTCTGCATCCTGTCTTCCTGCTGGAGCACAGAAGGATGCTGAGGTGCCGCATGGCTTCAGACAGTGGGAGGGGTGGGGAAGCCACTGCTCTGAAAGAAGATGCCCTCCTGAGTGATACCATGAAGGAGGGAAAATATTTTGTTGTAAGGCCAAATCCACTGTCCTTGTAGTCTTGGAGGGGCCAGAACCTTTGGGACCTCATCTTATGACTGCGAAGCATAGAGACAAATCACTGTGCCAGAGCAGTTTCAGGCTCTTGCTTCCCACTGGCATGCCTGAGAAACAGCTTTAGTCTTTGCACGTAGAAATGATATCCCCAGATCTGCCCTCTGAATATCTGTGTTAATTCCCTATTTGTCCTGCCACGTGCCTGATTCCCCGCAGGATCATATCTGTATCTAACCAGCACTACTGTGACAGCATCTTTCAGAATCTGGTGGTCCCTGACCACCCTTCTGGGCCCCTCTTTTTCCCCCTTTCCTTCTCCTCCTTCTCCCAGGTAGGGCAGAAGTTATTAGGGTCCCACCAAAGATCCCCTCCATCCCCAGCCCAGCACTCCCCTTCTGTTCTACCCCAGCCACCAAGAAGCTGTAGCAGCATTGGGTGACTGTCCCTCCAGTGCTGTCAGGTCCCCCATGTGCTCCTACCTGCAGGAGAGAGCTGGGCTCAGCCTTCCTACTGTCAGCTTCTTGTTGCACGGAATGGGAAATAGAGCAGGACACACTGGTGTCCTGCTTGGAAATGACCCTAAGGGGAAGCAGAAGTTTGCTGCGAGGATAGTTGTGAAAGAATCTGGCCACATCCCTTTTTATATCTTTAGCTCCAGTCCTTTCTTCAGTGTCACTTTCATATCCTTTATGAATGCTATCAGCTCAGCAGAATGTGAAGACCTGAAGCAGCAACGCAGAGCCCCATAGGTGCACAGCTCTGGTCCTGGGAAGCAGGGAGATGCCTGCCCTATCCTGCAGGGTCTCTGTGCTTTGCTCAGCTGTGCTTGCACTGGGGAGTATTGCCATCAGCTCTGTGCAAATTCAGGGAGAAAGGAGTGCTGCAGAAAGGTGTGTGCTCTTTGCTGGCATTGTTCAGGCTTCTCTGTGCATACCCAGCTGTGCTGGGAGATGCCACCAGCCAAGAGGACATGCCATGGCCTAAGCATCTATCATCTTGAATCTGAACCCCAGGCTGGGAATGGGAAATGATTTCACCTTGAGATATAAGCATGTGGGGGTTGGACTTGATGATCTCTGGAGGTCCCTTCCAACCCCTACAATTCTGTGATTTTGTGATTTCCAATCCCAGTTTCTGCTGATGCCTTGTGGAAGTGAAGCACAGGACATTCAGGGGAGATGAGCTCTTGCTTCCTACTGTACAGGAGGAATCTCTGTTGGGTTTTGGTGGGTTCTACAGCCTCCATCCATAAGCTCCTTCAGTCTGGCTCTTGAGCATCTCCTGCCTTTTCCTCATCATGGCCCCTTCCTGGTGCAGATACCACAGAGCAAACCTTGCATCCCAGGGCTTTATCACAAAGCCACATCCACCCAGCCCCTCCAACCAAGAGCTGACCACTCTGCACGTTGGCAATGAGAAAATAATGGTCTCCCTTGAGGGGGTTCCTTGGGTTCAGCCCCAGGCTGGTTTTTTCTCCCCATCCATGGTAACCCATCATGCAGCACCCTTTGGCACCCCTTGGCCACTTATTCCCAACTAGCAATAAAAGCTCTGTCCCTGCTGCCTGTGCTCTGTGCAGTTGGAGGTGGTGGAGCCCTCTGGCTGTGCTCTGAAATTGCTTGGGTAGAGTCCCTGGTGAGAATGGATCCATGAGGATGTCCCGAGGTTTTCTCTGTGGTCAACCAAACTGAATCCAGTTGGATGGAAAAGGGAATATCAGAACCCCTTCCTGGAGGACTCTTAGACCCCCTTCTGTGGGCACTGTGTTTGTGTGGTCATGGGAACAGCCCCCTGATGCTTTTGGTGCAGGTGGGGGTCCTGCAGATGGGCATTATGAATGGGATAGAGGACTCAGCAGTGTCCAGGTGCTGTGCAGATGTAATTCACACATACAGAGGCTCATGTGCATGCCACTTCCATACGGCCACACATGAGCTTCACCTGCAGAAAGGCGAGTCGTGAAAACAAAGATGCTCAGCCAGCCACACTGGGGAAGGATTTATTGACAGGGAAGGGTACAGAGCTGTGTGTGTTGGGTGAGCCCTCGTGCTTCTCTAGTCTGGGAAGAGCAGGAACCCCGAGAAGATGCTGTCAGATTCACCAGTGCCCACCATGCCATTGTAATCATTCACTTCCAACCAGACCTGGTTCCCAGCCTTCAGATGGAGGAGGATTCCTCCAGAGGTAACCTGGATGTTGTTGGTCTTGTGGTCACAGAAGCTGGCCTTCTTGACCGTGTCCTGGAATAGGAGGATGCAGAGGTTCCTTTCCATTGAGCTGTGGTAGACAAAGTAGTAGAGGCCAGAGATCTTGCTGGTAAACTTGCCTGTAGTGGTGCTGTAGTCGTTGTTGATGTTGGTGATGACGTTGTTGAAGATCACGGGGCTGTTCTTCATGGGGTGCTCACCAGTCTGTCTCGTCACTGAGAATGCTGACTGTTGCATCCTCTTGAAGCTGCCCGGCAGCCCCTGCTGTCCAGCAGCACCCATCACCCCTGGGTCCCCAGGGGGACCAGCAGGACCAAAGGGGCCCATCTTGCCCCTCAAGCCTGGGATGCCCGGCTCCCCCTTCATGCCCTTGGGACCTTGCATAGTAGGAATAGCTGGAATGCCTGTAGGGCAATGGGAAGTGGAGTCAGCCACAATAGAAGGACATGGGGAGAAGCACCCCACCACCTACCCACCCGCCCTGTCTGCATAGTGTGGTGACATTGCCCTCCTGCAACAGAGGCAGGCTCAGTGCTCACTCACCTGGCTCGCCTTTGGCTCCCTTCAGCCCATCCCGGCCATCCCTGCCTGGCACACCCGGGATGCCTGGCAGGCCTGGAGCCCCATAGCAGCTGTGTGGGGGATCGCTGGTCACTGCAGACTCCAGGCGCAGAAGTAGAAGGATGAGGGCAAGATGAAGGTGCTCCCTAAAGGTGCTCTGCCCCATTTTGGTGCTCTGGATCATGGAAAGGGAAAGAAATAAAAAATGCTGGGATGAGGGGCCACAGTAAGGCAGCTTTCGGACATGGGCCAAAGGAGGCATTGTGCTATGAGGGGCACAGCACCATGAGCACCTGGCTGTGATGGCTGTGCCTTCAACATCATCTTCCTATACAAACTGTCAGATGGTGGGGAGGCAGATGAGTGGGAGTAGAGCTCATCATCAACCCCAGACAGACTGACAGAGTCTTGTGGTGCCCATTTCCAGCCCCAAGCTCTCCTGGTTCAGCATCCCAAGCCCTCTGCAGATATGCACCCCACTGCAGAGTGCTGCACCCTGCAGCCAGCTGATCTCACCCTTCCCCCAACAGCAGCCTGACTTACCTGACTCTGCCCACCAAGATCAGGACCCCATCATTCAAGAGACTCCCGTGGCAGTGCTTGGCCCAGGGGCACTGGTCTTCCCCCAGCCAGAATAGGCATGATATGTATGCAGTTGGGGCGCTGGCAGTGCCTCTGCCTCCTCCTCCTCTCACCCCACCCAGCACTGCATCATGCTGCAGGACCCTCATCCACGCAGCCCACCCCAAGCAGCTGAGCCCTGCAGCATCTCTTACCTCTGGCACAGGATCCAGCGCTGTGGATCCCTGCCTGCTGCCAGCACTGCCTGCTGGCTCCAATCGACACAGTGCAATACCCTCCTGAAGGAAGTCACAGAGTTAGGAAAGCTCCCCATGGGGACACACAGCTTCTCCAGCTGAGTTTCACATCCTTCTGCCTGGCCATTTTCTCTGAGCAAGCACTTTCTTGGTCATCCAGCAAGACTTGCACTCGTGCCAGGATTCACCACTGCAGCAGCAGGGGCTGAGAGGACGGATGTGGGGTGAACCACAAGCAAGAAATGCACCACAAACTCTCCTCACCTTCCTTCTTCTTATCCTCATCTCATTTTCTGAGCAGATAAACAACAAGTGGGTGAGGAGCAGAACCTCAAACCACCTCCACAGAGCCAGGACAACATGTGCAACAAAGGGCAAGGACACCTCGGGCTGTGATGGGAGATGCTGTTGGACGGGCAGCAGGAGCTGATGCTAATGATGAATAGACTGCTGCTCCTCGAAGCTGACTTCTCCACCTGCTTGGTGCTCAGGTCCCAGCATCCCAGGTTAGGATGTTGTACCTTGCAAGTGGGGAAAGGACAGATATAGACTCGTCCCAGAAACTTCCCCTGTTCCTCCTCATAAATGAAGGTTTTGGTTGTATGCCCTGATCTCGCCTGCACAGCTGGGGGTCTATTCTTGGCCAGAAACAAGCTGGGATACTTCTCTTCTTGGACAGCTTTGGACAACTCAGAACATCATTAGTTTGCTAAAAGTGCATGGATAGGAAAAGAAAACCCAAACAGCTGTCAGGAAAGAAGAGGTTTATTTGCAGTGATGGGGAGGATGTGAGAGGCGACTCTGGCCTTATGCCAGAGATGCGCTTACAATGGTTAGAGGTGCAAAAGCAGTGGCACGCAGTGATTTCACACAGAGAGCTGGAGACAAGTGATCCCCTCCAGCATGAGGTCTGAGCATGAGGCTGGGAGCCTTTGACCTCCAGGAGGCACTGGGCTGAGCTGCCTGGCTCCTGCAGGCAAAAGGGACCTCTGCTGCTCAGTTGGAGGCCATCCCCTTTGCTGTCGTCTCAGGCCACCCCACATCCTTGCAGGGCACAAACGCATGCAGGCACACACGCACAGGTGCTAAGCAGCTCAGATCTGGCTGACAAACCAGAGGTCCATCAGCCTGAGTGCGGGTACAGCATGAAGCCGCTGAAGACGCTGTCTGCCTCGGTGCCGCGGTAAATCAGGTTGCCCTTTGTTGGGATGGTGTTCACAGACACCCGGTCGCCCGCAGCCAGGCTCAGCACGCTGCTGCCCGAGTTCACCTGCAGGATGTTGCGGCTGTTGTTGTCGCAGAAGCTGACCACGCGTTCCGAGTTCTTGGTGATGCTCAGGCAGAGATCTCCATTGGAGATCACTTGGTAGGCGAAGTAGTAAATCCCGGGGATCCTGCAGGTGAACTCCCCGGTTTGGGGGCTGTAGGAGTTCTCCTCGTTGGTGATGATGTTGTCGAACACCACTGTGGTGCCACGGGACGGTGGCATCAACCGTGAGGCAGAGAAGGCAGGATGCTGCTGCTGCTGGAAGCTGCCGGCATTCCCCTTGGCCCCTTTGAGCCCCGGCTTCCCTGGCAGTCCTGGAGGACCTGGTGGACCGTGGTAGCCCTGGTTCCCTGGGATGCCAGGAGGCCCTGATTCACCTTTGTCTCCTTTGGGTCCTCGGATGCCCGTCCTCGGTGCTGATTTCCCTGGGGAGAGGCAGTGGGGAGGCACCATTCATGCCGTGTTCAGTATGCCCATAGCATTCCCACATCTCTGGCTCTCCCTTACCTGGTTCTCCCACATCACCCTTCTGCCCTGGCCTCCCATCAAGACCGGGGATCCCTGGGAAGCCATCCTTGCCATTCGGTGCCCGACACACATCATCCTCAAGCATTTCCAGGCCCAGCACTGCTGCCAGGAAGCTGGTCACCAGCCAAAGGCTGAGCTGCATCGTGTCTCCCTGCAAGCACAGCATGGGGGGTTTGGGGCTGGAGGTAAGCACACAACAAACATGCACATGGTGCACGCAGCAGTGGGTGCAGCTTGAACACAGACATACAAACATAAATATGTGCTTTCCTCCAGATCTGTGGGCATGTGCAATGTGCAGACACGAGCATGTGCTCAGACACAGACCTACCATGCCACCTATGTGCTGCCTAACTCAGGTAGCCAGATGCCACACTCAGCATTGAAAAAAGCACTGCCGTTTCATTGCATAATCTGAAATGTTGCTGAAAAGATCTGACGTGCCCATGGTAAGGCTGTGGTACATGGAGCAGGGCATAAAACCTCTGGTGCACATCTTGGGGATGAATACATGCAATGCATTCAGTGAATGTGAAGAGACACAACAGAATAAAGAGAAACAGGAAAGGGTGGAGAAGGAAAGAAATAAAAGGGCAAGAGGGATGCAGATCCCCAGCACACAGACCTGGGAGAGAGGAGGGACATCCTGAACATATACCAAGAGCCTGGATCAGACCTGCAGAACCCGTGTCTACATCCACGTGGTGGAGTGAAGGCAGATTTGCTCCTCTGCATCATCTTCTTCCCCTTTTCCTACTTCATACACTTGTGAAAGGAGACAGGCAGCAAGAGCTGGAGAGAGGTTCTTGAAGAGCTCCACATCCCCACCTATTCAGGGTGACTTACCTCCTCGCTGGGCTGAGAACAGAGCTGTCGGAGCTGGCTGCTCTGTTTGCTGGCAGCTCTTCCTTGGGAGCAGGGCTGGGGGGATGGAATTGCACGCACAGAGTTTGCAGAAGAGAACTGCCAAGTTTCGCTTGTTTGCGTGGTTCCCTTTTCTGCGCTCAACCCTGGCTGTGCCAGTAATTGTCAGGGAACAGCCTGCTCAGCAAAAGTGCTGACCCCTCAGAGGGAAATCCTGCAGCACAGGGAGGCACAAAGACGTGGGAGGCCCAGAGGTATGGCACAGTGTGAGGTGGCACTGCCATGCAAGGGATAACCCCCCTGGGTTGCATGATGTACTCGTTTCAGAGCCACCATGCTTGGGGGGCATTGTTTCCATGCTTCCCAGTTGCCTCCCAGTCCCCTTGAGGGTAGAGTCACCACCCAGACCTGGGCAATCCTTGGAGATGTATGTGGCCTGACTCAGGTCTGCACAATTTCCTGTCACAATTTCCTTTCAAAAGCCTAGGAGGAGGCAATCCCAATGGGCCACAAGTCAAGAAAGTGGGGCGGAAAACTGAGCTGGTTGAAAAGGGAACTGCTCATGGAATTAGGGCAAAAAAGGAAAATATATGACCTCTGGAATTGAGGTCTGGCTTCACAAGGAGAGTACAGAGCAGCAGGGAGGAAACAATAAGACGAAGCCCAATTTGAGTGGACACTGGCCAGTGCATTCAGATCAGAAAAAAGAGACATTTTTAAGTAGGTGGTCTAAGGAAAACATTGAACTGGAGATGTTCACCTAACAAGTAATGAAGAAGCAGAGGCATTCAATGCCTTTTCTTCCTCAGTTTTTGTATTATTGATATATCTTGGGCTGGCTGGACCTAAGAATTGGAGGACCACGACTGGGGGAGCAGTGACTTTCCATCTGAGGTCGCCAAAACTGTATGGGACCAGTTGTATCTGTAGAATGTTCCTTAGCCCCTGATGCCAGTTGGGATTCACAACAGAGTGCTGACGGAATGAACTGAAATAAGAGCTGGACTCTTCTCAACAATTAGCAAAGATCTTGGGAATCTGGGGATGTCTATGCTGACCAGAGGCAAACCAATATGATACCCAACTACCAATCAGGCAGAAGGGAAGATCCAGGGCATTATAGACCTCAGCCTGACCCCAGAACCTTGGCCGGACCCCAGACCTCAATCTGACCTCAGAACCTGGAAAAATTATGGTGAAGACCATGTGCTATTGAAACGCATTTAATAACAAAGCAAATGTCAGGCACTGTCCACGCAGCTTCACGAAGGGAAAGTCTTGCTGTAGTAATTTGATCTGCTTCTGTGATAAGGTGTAAGAGGAAGGTGATGGATTAATCTTCCTGGATTTCACTAAATCCTTTGACACTGTTCCTCATAGCATCCTTGTGGACAAATTGTCTAGCTGTGAGATAAACAAATTCATGCTATGCTGGGCAATGAATTAGCTCAATGACAGAGCTCATAGAGCTGCAGTGAATGGGATACATCTTGTTGGCAGCAACAGCAGTGCTCTCCGCAGCTCAGCTCTAGGAGTAGCCCTATTCAGCATCTTCATCAATGATTTGGAGGCAGGAGTTGAATACATCCTCAGCAAGTTCATTGATGGTACTGAAATGGAAGGTACAGTTGACCCTCTGTTGGGACAAGAGGCACTGCAGGATGATCTAGATAGATTGGGCATGAAATTCAACAAAGATAGATGCTGGGTTCTATGCCTGGGATGGAGTAATGCCAGACATAGGCACAGGTTGGGAGATGAGTGTGAATGTGTTCAGAGGAGGGCAATAAAGCTGGTAGAAGGCCTGCAAAGTGTGACCTATGCAAAGAGCCTGAGGATACTTGGGCCGTTTAGCTGGGAGAAAAATCTATGATTTTTATAGGTCCCTTCCAACTGAACTTTTTATTTCTCTTTCTCCCTCTCCTCTCCTCTCCTCTCCTCTCCTCTCCTCTCCTCTCCTCTCCTCTCCTCTCCTCTCCTCTCCTCTCCTCTCATGATTCAATTTGAAAATGAACCATAGAGGCCCTTGCACATAAAACTTTGCTAATCAGTACATCTCCATTAATAGTTACCTTCGGAGATCTGTCGCTGAGCTGGTCTTTAATTCACATGCCCTCTTAATGCAATATAATACACACTTTTAATCAAAATGCCAATCCTGTAATAAATCAGATGCTCAGAAGAAAATGCAATTTATTCTATCAACACAGTTCTTCTGTCAGCTGAACCTGTAATCGTGTCAAGAAAAGATGACAGGTGAGCTTGAAAAGACCTACCTTCCTCCAAATGGTGCTTCTGGACAATAATTGTATTTCTGCCCTAGTACCCTCTGTTAATATACAGCCAAAATGAGACCACTCCATCATTTCGTCCAGGTTTGATGGATGGCTGTGTCTTGGTGTGCCCGTGTCCTTTGTCCCGTGTCCTTTGACATCGCTTAAACGCTAAAGTTAAGAGCCTGGCCGTGGATTTCCAGCATCTCCTGGCTGCTGCTGCTGGGACAGGGAGCACCTCGTGTCCGTGAGGCTGCAGAGCGCAGGCAGCGTGCCACCAGGTGGCAGTGCTCTCTCAGCCATTCGGTGTCACCTGCCGCTCGGAGCTCTTCCTCCAAACCCTGCGCTGGAGGTGGCAAGGATGACAGCGGGAAAGCCCGGGTGACGTAAATTGGGTCCTCGCCCAAGGGAGATGGGAAGCTGGGTGCCTATGGGAGAAGCTGTATGGGATGTCGGTGCTCTTAGGAGCCCTGGCTGGCCCCAAATCCAGCCCCACAGCAAACAGCCCTGAGTCCAGGGGGATCCAGAGCTTCCCAGTGAGCACCCGTATCATCAAGGTGCCCATTTCAGCCTTTGGATGAGTAATCTTTCTCCTTTCAGGGCACCCAGGCTGCTTCACCTCCTTCTTGCTTACCTGTCCGGTGATACCAGGCAATATAGCTCAGTGCCAGCCTTGCACCTCTTCATGGAAGAAAAATGACCCCTGCAAAGCCTCTTTGCTGTTTTCCCAGTGCTGGCAACCACACACCAGCTGCCTGACAGCAGACAACAGGGAGAGATGTTCCCCTGCTGCCTTCCCGCTGGGGATCCCCTGCGGTGCTGAGCAGTGACAGGCAGGAGCTGCCAGAGGAGGAAAATCAAGCAGCTAGCACCCGCCTGTCACTGTGTGGGAGGCAGTGACAGAGGCAGGCAGGTGGGACATCATCAGTGCTGTCAGGTATGCACACACCCATCGGCACCCCAGGCTTCCACCCACACCCGTGGGGATGGGACAGCTTGGAGCATCTGTGTGTCTGCAGTCATTGATGGTTTCATGGTGCCCGAATAACAGAACCCAGCGCACTGGAAAGCTGTGATTTTTTTGCTGCCCAAATGTCCAGCCCCGCTGACCACCAGACAAACATCCTGTGAGATGTGATGGCTTTGGCATCCCGTGTTTTGATCGATGAAACAAGAAGCCAGGGTGGCTCAGATGCCCTGGAAGAATTTCCTGACATTCTAGCTGCAAATCAGGCTACGTGGGCACTTGACACTCCATGTTTAAAATGTGTTAATTGCTGTCCCAGGGGATGTGTCATTCCCATGACAGATGCTTTACATGGAGCACGTGTAAGAGACAAAGACAGGTATGGGCTTTAAAAGCCAGAATTTCACGCTCCATCCCTTGCTTGCTGTCTCCTGGCATTGATGAGCATCCCTGTTGGCTCATAGGATGAGAGGAGATAGATGAATGCTGAGCAGCCCTGGGCAATGCTGAGAAAGCTTGTCCCATTCCTCCTCCCCTTGTTCTCTGTTATGGATGTCAGAGTTTTTCGTTATTAGGCATCTACTTGTTAATATGGCTGATTGTTTCTTGTCCTTTAATGTATCTGTTATTTATTTATTCACTTGTGTAAAAAGCAGTTTCAGATTGATCACTTTGGCATGTAAATGAGCTGCTCCAGTGCTCGTCACTGAAATTTGTAGATTGGAAGAGTTTGCAATCAAACACAGCCAGAATCTAAATTACAACATTTCAGGCAATAATAGCTGGGAGAGGACAGGAAGGATGTGCCATAAATAAGATGGGATCAGAGCAGGGTGCCCAGAGCTATGCTGTCAGCATGCCAGGAGCCCCAAGGCATGCAACAGGAGTACAGATCTGCAGTGCTGAGGTGTGCCTGGCAGCACTGGCATTGCTCTGGGGCTGCATCCCTTTGGGAAAAGGGGGGAAGGGAGAAAGAAAAAGGCTTTGGGGAAATGATGGGAGCTGGCTTGCAACCAAGCAATTCTTGTGTTGATCTCTGATGAGGCCTAGTTAGCCTAGAATGTTGAAAAGTATGCACACACAGGACTGTGGGCTGCCAAGTGAGTCTGGATATCATATGTGATGCTGATTTGCTTGCCACTATGGGTGATTTTTGGCTTCTTGCCACTACTCAGGGCTTCATCAAAATCCAGTGGGTAGACACAAGGCACAGTCCTGCCCATTTCAAGGGCAGTAAGGGAGAAAAGCCTTCTTGCAGGCAGCAAGCGCTGCATCTAGGCTGAGAAGCCAGGACCTCCCCAAGCCCAGGGTTGGTCGTGTTGGTCACATTCAGCTTTATATCTCTCTATCCCTGTGGCATCCCTAATTATCAGATAAGTGATGTTCACCAGGCACAGTGCTGTGAATGCCACTAGGGATGATGAAAAGACCTCTGGGATCCCCTGCCCAGCTCCTTGCTCATGGCAGGACTATTCCCAACACTAGATCAAGATAGCAATGGCTCTACCTACATCTTGAAAAGCCCACAAGGACAGAAATCTCCCACCTCTCTGGGGACCTGTCACAGGTGAGGGTTAGAGTTAGGGCTAGGGTTAGGATTAGGGTGAGGCTTAGGGTTAGGGTTCAGCTCAAGGCTCTGAGGGATGTGCTGGGCAGTGTGACATACCTTTCCAAACCATCTGCCTCCCACAGCCTGTCCTGCACACACAGCTGAATATCGTGTGCCCTTCCCAGGCTCCTCTTTATGCCATGATCTGGCTTTCCTGACACAATACCTCAAAAATGGAGTAGAAGTTTCCTGCAGGCAAGTGCTCATGTTAACTGGGTCAGTGGCAGCTGGAGGTCCATGCTGGCTGGAGACTATTACGACTTAT